TTCATGATAATTTCTAGGTAATTGAGCATTGTTGAGTATTGGCTCAAGTTGAGATTTGTTTTGTGTAGTAATTGTTGGAACGAGATTGGTTATAGTTGATTCCTTTGCAGGGATGTTATTGGTTATGTTCTTGATTCCCTTGTCGGGATGTTATTGTATATATTGTTGATTCCCTTGTAGGGACGTATTGTTTTTATTGTTTGGTGAGGAAGACCGTAAAGCACGAAGGGTGATGCCGTGCATGATATTGTGAGTGAGTGTTACAGCACGAAGGGTGATGCCGTGCCGATATTATGAGAGTTAATGCACGAAGGGTGATGTCGTGCCATGATTATGAGAGTTAATGCACGAAGGGTGATACCGTGTCATGATTATGAGAGTTAATGCACGAAGGGTGATGCCGTGCCATGATTATGAGAGTTAATGCACGAAGGGTGATACCGTGCCGATTCTGTTGATTCTTGTGGTGAGGACGAAATTAAAAGCACGAAGGGTGATGACGTGCACGTTTTACTGTTTTCCTTATTCCTACTGATTTTACTATGGTGTTCTTTATGATTCTCTACTGAAATTATGTTAGTATTTGATATTCCCCGCAGCATGTTTCCCCTTCCCCTCTTTATCTGTTAATTCCTGTTTCTATTATCCGTTTGTATATGATTTGTTATCTCTTTCATTCCGAGAACAGTTGTACTTTCTTTCTAAACCAGTATTTGTAGAAATTCGTAGGTGTTCGTGAAGTTGTGACACCGTATTCTTGGGTAGACATGTATTGGAGTATTTGAATTTGCTATAACACTTCCACACCTTATATCTGCTTAGTTTTAGTTACTGTTTATACCTGTTTGGGTTGATTGCTAATGTGTTAAAATCATAGTAGTTGGCTTTCCTACCTTTCACAAGTAGGCTTTATCACGAACCCCGAGGGTGGGAAATCCGGGTCGTGACATTAATCTCCACCGGAGCCCACATTTGAGTCCGAAAATCACGTGTCATTATTATATTATTGAAAAAAGACAGGATTCAAGGTTAGCTAGTGGTGTACAATGCGATTTGTGCTCGGTTTGGTTAAAAAACGGCATATATTCCCTAGTAAAAATTTATTAAAAAAAAAGAGTATTTCGATAAACTATTTTAGTATAAGTTTTATATATATTTGTGTAATTTGTTTCTAGTAATCTATGCCATGATTTTGTGCTTGTTTAGTTTTTTATTTTTACCCCAATTTATGTTATTTTTTTATGCCATTGTTTTAAATTCGAATGTATGTTATTTTTTAGGTCATTTTTTATGCCATTGTTTTAAATGCGAATTTATGCTATTTCATATAACTTGTGGTAATTTATGTTATTTCGTGTATAAGTATAAGACAATAAATATGTGACTTTAGTAGTCTTTAGCGTCCTTTAGTGTAAAACAATAAATACGTATCGTCATTAACGAAATCCATTAGTGTAATTAACAATGGATCATATACTAATTAATTAATAATCTTATAACAAAAGTATTATCAGTTACTAATCAATAAGAACATGATAAGTTAAATAAATTAAATATTTAGTGTTATTTGGCTGACGAATAAAAAAATTAATTAGTTGTCAGTATAAATGAGACCCTGTCGGTTTTTTATCGTAAAATATAACAAACTAACATATAACCGTTACGAAAGAAATAAATGATTAAAAATACTTTATGTCAAAATAATTAATAAAAATATTTAGAAATATCTAGATAATTTAAACAAATTTAAATCTTTAGTGTTCTTTTAATGGCGAATAAAAATATAAAAATTTGTCAATATAAATGCGACTCTGTCGAATCTTTGTCGTAAAATTCTAAAAACTAACATAAAAATAAATACTTTATATAAAAATAATTAACAATATAAAAATTCATGAATTAAATAGTAATATTATAAATATTTCAAGATATTTCGAGACGTTAAACGAGTAAAGAGAATATAACTTTAATTAATATTATTCAATGTACTAACATCAATATGGATCGCCCGACTGTTCATCCTGGACCTATTTCTCCTGAGCTACTTACGCTCCAAGCGGGCCATCGGTCATCACATATCTAGGATGGACAGTTGCTTAGCCAGAATTTCCACCCGAGACGCATTGATGGCTTCTAGGAGTTTATTAGGGACCACCCACTTCATCATCGTACAGTTGCATGCCTCACTCGGACTAGTTTTCACCGAATTGTTGAGGTCGGCCAGCTGCAGTTCGATTGGCCCTTGATCACGGCTCTGATCGAGCGTTGGAGGCCTGAGACGCGCACATTTCATTTTCCTACCAGAGAGGCCACCATCACGCTACAGGACGCAGAAGTTTTATTTGGGTTGCCCGCGGTTAAGGATTATAGGAGGCATGACTATCTAGAGATGCTAGAGAGGCTCACTGGATATCTGTTGGCTGAGTAGACTGCGATAAGCGGAGTTAGTCGATTACAGCTATTTCCTATTAGGCAGCACCTAGAGGCGCTTCACTAGCAAATCACGAACGAGACACCAATAGAGGCTATTGAGTGGCAATCAAGGTTGTTGCTTTTGATGATATTTGGTGGAATTATTTTCTCGAACACTTAAAATCCCACCGTGCCGACCAGATATTACACAAATACCTTAACGTTATCTCACATCGTGCTTCTTCAAGTGGTTTAAAAACTATGTCCAAGTCTCTTGACTTTCATTGGAACAAATAGCAAAGGCAAAGGGAAATATTTGGCCATTAGCATCTATTCCAATGACAATCAAAATCTTTATATCATATTTTCCATACACATGCATGCCGTCTATGAAGATTAATGGCCGATAATTAACAAAACCATCGATGAATGGTTAAAATGTCCGGAACACATAATTGAATATATTTCATGGAAAGTCAGGACTCCGGTCATGCTTTCATTTAACAACTGTCTCGGGGTTAAGGTGTTTCAAAGCAGCCATGTACCTCGGTAAAGCCGCAAATGACTTATCCCTGTTACTAAAAATAATCTCAAATGCACTGTTTACCTTAAAAATATGAGTAACAAATTAATTTGATTTATGATTTTAAAGATATGTGATTTAGTTCAGTACCAATTAATAACCAAGAAAACTAACGTATGAATGAAGGAAATAAGTAAAACCAAACCAGTATGTAGGCCAGTCTCGACCTCGAGCTAAGATGACCTCGAGGTGAATCAAGAACATTAAAGCAAGAATAATAAAGCTAAAGGACAATTCTGATGAACAATGAACGAGAAAGTAAGTGAATATATTCTTTGACAATGATTGATGATCCTTACAAATGCTTGAGGCCCCTTTATATAATAGGGGAACCCTAAATAAGGTACATTTATATTTACAGTAAGGAATCTTATTGGGACAGATGTTTAACCGCCTAGTACGGATTCGTACATATCTATTTCGGGATTTACGCCACGATCTTGGGGACGTGGCAGGAGTCTTGCTCATTTTGTTACAAATCCATAACAGCTTTATCTCGAGGCTGGTCATATTAGGCCCTCGACGTTCCTCGAACACTTAGTTCTTCGAGCCTTGTACTTCGTCCTCAGGCTCGAACTCGGTCCATAATGAGTCTATTCTTCGACACGAGCCTTCTGTTCCTCGATATGAACCTTCAAGCCCCCAAAATCGGTGGCACCTGATTTCACCGTATATAGATAGTCCCCGCATTTCTTAGAGTAATGATAAGAAACGATTTGAACCTCGATTTTCCAGAGTCTCTGATGATGATGCCATTCCCGTGACGTAGACGCTCGAAGCGACCGAAACGTCCCGTCTGTTCGCTTCCCCAAAATATTAAATGCGTGCCAGTTATGGTCGGCCACTATCGCCGTCGAGCCGTCGCCGCTTATCTATAAATACGGGACTCCCTTTATGAATTAAGATCTTTACTTCTTCATTTCATTCTCTTTGATCCCTTCTTCTTTTCATCTCTTTCTCTCACCACCTACTTCCGCTGCCCTTTAAGTGCCGGAAAATGCCAAACTCCGCCACCTTCCGCATCTTTTAACTTAAAATCATGGAAAAAACCTCTAAAACAGTTCCTAAACAAGAGAAGGCTTCTTCTTCCTCTTCCCAGCCGGCCAAACTTGTGGTGCCGACCCTACACGAGATCATTCCCGACCCCTGTGTGATAAAGAAAGATTTCAACATTAAAAATCCCCCCAATATTCCAGGCCGATGTAAACATGTATCTTGATACATCAGTTCGATATCAAAGAAGCATCTCAAGGACATGAAGAAGGACTGTGGCTGGAGAGACGAGGTCTTGGTACAGATCCCCGACTTTGAGGAGAGCATCACTACTCACGTGGAGGGGTTCTTAAGTGTTTGCACTTACCCCTTCACACTAGGCCCCCTTGATCCAGTAGTGATTGACTTTTGCAAAAGGTACGAGGTTACTCTCGGCCAGATCCATCCCTCCTTTTGGCGCATCGTGATTATGTTGCGTTACTTCTCCAGCAAGGCTGAGGGATTAGAGTTTACCCTCAATCATCTCATTCGGCTATATCGACCTCAGCTGTTTCGAGGGCTGATCAAGATTTAACGCCGATCAAAGAAAGCTTTCATTACTAGTAACGATGAGGATAAAGACCTAGGCTGGATGAGCCAATTTCTCAGAGTGAGGACCTCAGACGTCATCCCTAGGGGAAAAATGCCATTTTTGGATAAAGGGAACTTCAGACGTAAGTGAAGTCCCTTACCAAATACCCTCTCATATTCCGCTTCCGAGTTTTGTAATACCTTTACCTTTTTTGCAGTTGTTGCTTGGATGCCCCATGTGATCCCCGACCTCGAGGACTGGGTCCGAAAATTAGTTGCAACCTCCTCATATGATGAGCGCAAATGGAGTGACTTATCGAGGGGCAAATGGGAGGCCAAGCACCATAGTTAATTCTTCTCCCGGGTTTTCTAATGCTTTCCTTTTACTGTAGATGTTTCCACACTTACACTTATCTGTGCATGCATTGGATATGTCTCTAAAATGAGGCCAGCCCCTCCCGGGGAAGAGACCGAGTCCCCGATTACAAAATCGGGGAAAGACAATAAGAGAAAAAGGGCTTCGGAGTCCAAAGACTCCCAGGAAGAGAGGGCCCCTACTCGGAAGCTAAGGAGGAAACTTATTCACGTGTATGTAGATTCACCCCTCCAACTTCTGGACGATGAACAAAATGAAGGCCAAGAATCGGCGCTGGTGCACCGAACTAGGAAACCGGTCAAAGCCGCCAAGCCCTCCGAACTAGAGACCTTTCCTCGTCGTGAGGGAACTTCGAAGAAAGACTCGGGCAAAGCCCTCGAGTCCCCTGAGGTTGAGATCATTCCCCCGCCTTCAACAAGTACACCGGAAGGGACAAGTACCGAGAACCCCGAAGCCAAACAGAGCGCCCCGAGTGAGGAGCTCGGGGCCGTGACAATAGGCTACTCCCCTTCTCTACCATCTTACTCTAAGGAGGCGATAAAGGATGATCGAGCTCTGCGAATGCCCAACCCGAGAAAGGTCCTCGAAGAAGATCCTTTTCAGGATTGTTTCACTGGGGTCGATGATGTCGCCGACCTTAATGACGCATCTACTCTCTTCGAAGAGGCTCATCGTCTCTTCTCTCAGGTAAACACTAACTTTTATTTGTTGTAATTTTTTCTTCTCCCCTGGTCTTGACTCATATCTTTTTGTTTTTTGTGTAGGCCATCATCAAGTTCAGGTCCGAGCTGAGCCAATGTGAGGCCGAGCTCAGGAAGTCCTCGGATGAGGAGAAGGCCCTGAGGCTCCTTTGTAGCCAAAAGGAGGAGGAGCTCAAGGACCTCCGGGCTGATTTGGACAAAGCTCGCAAAAACGAGGCTGATATAGACAAGTAGGTAACCGTGATTTTAAAAGAGTATGGTCTTCTTGGCCATACCGTGGAGCTAACACTTCAATGTCTCAGCTACAGCAAAAGTTGGAGGTGATCGGGCAGCTCCGGGGCGAGGTCGATCAGGTTAAGACTGACTGCCACCGTTGGAAGGAGAACATGGATCAGCTTGCTGCTGATAAAGAGGCTGCTCTAGCCCAACTGGACTCAGCTGAAACTCAGTTCCGAGGTATCAAACCAAAAAATCTGGCCCAAACCAAGAAGATCGAGGAGCTCGAGGCCAAACTTGCTAAAGCTGGGGTCGAAGTTGCTGAAGCTAGGGCTAAAGTGGAGAGGATGAAGGCCAAGGCTGATAAAACCATCATCGTGTACTTAAGGGAAGCTGAGGCTGTTCAAGAAGAGCTAAGGGAGGCCTCTGACCGGGAAAAACAGAGTAATGATTTGGCCAAGTGCCAGTCCCGGAGGGAGACCCTCGAAGAAATCCACGCTCGAGGTTTCGACCTCATCGCAGAGGTAGCCCAAGCGAAGGCGCAAGAAATCGATGCCAGGTTTCTAGTTTATTCTTATGATAAAGATGTTGTTAGTGGCTCTAAGGACGGGGGAGATGGAGATGGAGCACCCGAGGAGGAAGCTCCCGAAGATGCGGCTATTAAAGATGTGACTACCGAGGGTGCAGCTCCCAAAGTAGATTAGGTTCTTTTTGCTCTTGTTTTTTGTATAAGTCCCCTTGTGGGCATTGTAAATACTCTTTATGAATATAAGGAATTCCTTTCTTTTTGCTTTATCTCCGATTTGTATTAAATTTTGCCTCGTCTTCATTTATGAAATTTTTTGATGTTATGGCTTTAATGATCAAATGAGCACTGGCTCGGACTCAGAATAGAAAAAACCTTAGGTTTTTTAGTGATCAATGGGTGATCTATGGACTTATAATAGATACCTCTTAGGCTCTTTTGTTAATCCTCGAGCTATGCTTAAGTTGATTTGATGTGATCTCGGGATGACGAGACTGTTGAGTCCGAGTTAAGTGAGAGTAAAATCTCGAACTCTACATGCTTCGGCCCTTAGGCTATTTTAAATCGGCCCTTAGGCTCTTTTAGTTGGGCCAATTCGGCCTCTAAAGCGGCTATAACTTTTCCCTCTTTTCGGCTAAAAGACTTAGTGAAAATTTCTTTATGCCTTAGCATGTGTTTTTTGTACCCGTTGGGTTTTTTCGAAGGTTCAGTCGATCGGAACCTCATTTGTAATCCGTTTGTATTACGATAATTGAAACGCCTCTTGAGGCTTTTTTCGAAGGCCGATATTATTGAAGCCTTTAAGTTATTCAAGGGTTGGTTTTATCAAAGCCCTTTTTTATTTGCTTTTGCCAAGGGTACCCTAATTTCACCGATTTTTCAAATTATTTCAAGGACTTTATCTTATGGCGGAAGTCGGACGTCTCCGAGTTGTGTTATTTCAGCCGTAGACTTTTATATGACCGTAGTCTTTAATATGACCGTAGCCTTCAGGTATGTCTCTTAGACTTGTTCCCCGATAATCATTCAAACTTGTTCGAAAGGTTAGTCCCCGAGTATGATGGATTTGGCCTTTATGTCGAGGGGATGCCTCTTTGAGGTCTTATGAATTCGAGTTTGGATGGCTCGAATGTGTTGACTTTCGATGACAGTCCGCGAGTATTCAAGGTGTATTCGTGCTTTGTCCCATGAGCCAATATTCGTGAGATTACAAGTATGATGTTCGTATAGTAGCAAGTTTCTTTGAGACACAAAGTGTTCTGATATAGAAAGATTGCTACTTTGAATAATTGATACATGCGCACATGTTCTGCCGTCGGGGCCCGGCTATTCTAGAGAACGAGTTTGGTGGTGTTTGGAGGGGTTATGGTAGCCGTCGCCGGCAAATGAACTGAGAGAATTTTGGGGCGTCTAGATTAGGGGTTTGGAGGGGTTATGGTAGTCGTCGCCAGCAAGTGTTCTAATATAGAAAGAATGCTACTTTGAATAATTGATACATGCGCACATGTTCTGCCGTCGGGGCCCGGCTATTCTACATGGACAGGGTTCATCTGACCGTTTGGCCCATTATAAAGTTTTCCTATCGAGGCCCTCTTTGGCGTGAAGTATTTTCCTCGAAATTATCATCTACGAGGGTGATGCTCCCCAGTATTCGAGGTTGATTGAAAAGAAGCCTATGATACTGTTAAGTTCTCCTTAGGTAGCACATAGTTGTTGCCTCGTTAAAAACATCGCCGGTAAAACCCATTTGGGACAAAATCCATCTAAGGGCAAAAGAGTGCAACGCGTGCTTTAAAGTCTAAGGTCTTCGTGTCAAAAAAGGTGTCCTCGATGTCTTCGATCGAACACCTGCAATGAGTTAGTTTAAAATTCAAATGGACAAAAGGAGAAAGTCATACCTTAGCAGTAGTATCGTTTGAGTAGTGATACATTCCAATTGTTCGGCAATTGTTCGCCTCCCATCGTGCCAAGTTCGTAAGATCCATTACCGACAACTCCGATGACTCGATACGGTCCTTCCCAGTTAGGGCCCAGTTTCCCTTCATTGAGGTCTCGAGTATTGAGGGTGACCTTCCGTAGAATTAAGTTCCCGATACCGAAGTGTCGAAGGTTAGTCCTTCGATTATAATACCTCTCTATTCTTTGTTTCTGCGCCGCCATCCGAATAAGTGCCGTTTCCCGTTTTTCATCTAATAGCTTGAGGCTAGTATTCATTGCCTCGTAATTTGACTCCTCCGATGCATGTCGGAACCTGGCGCTGGGTTCTCCGACCTCGACCGGGATTAAGGCCTCAGATCCATATACTAAAGAGAACGGAGTAGCCCCCGTGCTGGACTTCGATGTGGTTTGATATGCCCATAGGACCTCGGGTAGAACTTCTCTCCATTTTCCTTTTGCATCGTCCAACCTTTTCTTTAGGTTTTGAATGATAGTTTTGTTTGTTGACTCGGCATGTCCGTTCCCGGTTGGGTGGTACGGTGTTGATAATATCCTCTTTATTTTGTGTGCTTCGAGGAACTTCGTTACCTTGTTGCCGGCGAATTGCTTTCCATCGTCACATACGATCTCGGCAGGTATTTCGAATCGACATATGCTGTGGTCCCGGATGAAGTCAATAACTTCTTTTTCTCTGACCTTCTCGAAGGCTTGAGCTTCCACCCATTTAGAAAAGTAGTCAGTCATAAACATTATGAATTTAGCTTTATCTGGGGCCGTTGTGTCACGCCCCAACCTAGGGAGGCGTGGCTGGCACCCGGTACCGCACTGGCCTGAGCGACACTCTGTAACTCATTTATTCTTTTTATAACTATCATGGACCAACATGGCCACAACTCGTAATGTATAATTTTAAGTGGATAACATCGTATCACTGAACCATTTTTCTTAAAACATGAATACATATGGGCGTCAAGGCCTCTGACATACTGTACAAACTGAACCTCTGTCTACAAATCCTCTAAGATTGTTCGACATTAAATAGGACAGGGTACCGGCCTACCCATAAGTCTGTAGAAAAACTCTAACACGATGACTCATAGACTCGGCTGCACTCCGAATGAGGTGGAGTCTTACTGATCCTTCGCTAAATGCACACCACGTCTATTGTGAGGGCTCGTCAATCTGATTATATATATATACCTATAGGGATTAATGCAGCGTCCCCAACAAGAGGACGTCAGTACGAATAATGTACTGAGTATGTAAGGCAGAACTTAAACATAACCATAATTCAACATTAATGAAAGACATATAAGAATCAACCTGAATCTCTGAAGTGCCATCGTATATGCGTACTTATTATATTCATATATATACAATGCTTCTCTTTATGACTACTATCCATATTGTATAATGCATGACTGCCCAACTGATCAGTGGTAACTGCCCGACCGGCCTTTGCACGGTGGTGAATATATGAGTGCCCAACCGGTGGTAAATAATACATGACTGCCCAACCGGTGGTAACTGCCCGACCAGACGTAGCCCGGTGGTAAATGCATGTCTGCCTAACTGGCCGTAGCAGGGTGATAAATGATTATGCATGAATGCCCAACCGGCCGTAGCACGGTGGTAAATATGTAACTGCCCGACCGGTCGTAGCGCGGTGGTAAATATGTAACTGTCCGACCGGCCGTAGCCAGGTGGTAAATGTATGACTGCCCGAAGCACCTTTCATTTAGCCATTCACATATGCCATAAGTCAGTAAAATACATGAATCTAATCAATTTGCATAGAAAGAAGGACCTATTGTAAGGATAAACGAACTATACCCCAAGACTAAATGGAACTGTTACTTTGGTCATAGTCGGAAGAACAGATGAAGGTAGACTACCTATACAAAATTTAGAGTCATTGTAGAGCTAAAATGAGCTAGTTAGTCATAACCAGAGTAAAGCAAATGAAACAGTCAACTTGCACTAAGGTTGGGGCCTATTGCAAAACAAATTTGTGTTACTGGAAACATGACTTGAAGCAGAGTTACTTTTACTTACTTTTTGCCAACAATCTCGCTGGCTCTAAAAGCTTCAGTCATAAAAAGTAAAATGCAAGGATAAAGAACAAGCTTTTATCTTTTGCAGCATTCTTTGGCAGGAACATTACATCTACATGTAGACAGTTGTTATCTTTTAATATCGCCTAATAAAGTAATGACAGCCGTACTTGCAATGCAACACTTATTCAGCTATTGAAGTATAATTCAGTCTCGAAAAGTTGGCTGAGTAGACTATCCGCTCACAAGGACCAAGAAGAGATTCACGTAAATAAAGGAATTGAATAACGTAGATATCCTTAACTGCTAAAAATACAACCACTTATGGAATAGCATTACGTTTACGTCTCGTTGCTTGGATCATGCCAAAAGAAAGAAGGTTTAGCCTTAACATACCTGAGCCGGTTTTCTTGACAATCCCTTTAAAATGGGAGCATGTTATTGCAAAATCTAGGCAGTTCCTCAAAATTAACACATCTATGAAGTTAAAGTACAATGTAAGGTACGTATAATCAATGTAAATGAATCTGCAAGCTTGCTTCAGGAGCCGTAGTTTTCCACATCCAAATTTGGCTTGCATAATCACATACACTTGCATTGTCTTGCTTCTCAAAGACCAGTTCCTTAGCTTCAACATTAAGGATAGAACGTCCAATTGGCAATGAGTGTCACTAAAATGTATAGAGCTTACCCTGTCCATCCTGATTATTGAGAACATCCAGTAGGGCTCTATGGTAATCATATTCATCCATGCTTATAGGAAATGAAATAAAGAATAGGATTCGACAACTTGCCAATACAACTCCAAGAAATTGAAAATCTCTAGTACAAAATTCGAACAAACTTACATGCTTGCTACCTTACCAAAACTTACATGCTTGCTAAAGCTTACTCTAAACAAAGCTAACTAATTAGGTACCAATGCCTCTCTAGTAGTTCGAGATAGTTCAACACCTATCTTTTTTTGACTTTTCTTTATTAAAATGGAATGACTAACAGTTTGCCACATACTAATTAACTTTAAGAGTCATTTAACTAGGCTTATATGGCTGCCACGTGGGGATGGGGATTTTAAATATTTATCCACTAATTTATTAATTAATTAGGTAATATCCCGCTACCCGATGATTAACCAATTACCCGTATAATTAAGAAATATCTCAAATTACTTAAAATTCTACCCATT